TGCTAAGATACGAATCCATTTATTCTTTTCTCTACGTGTATTGCGAATTGGACTAACACTTGTAGGCGACAGCCAAAGAATGATGAGGTTGTCAGGTTTGAAACCACGTGTTGCACTCTTTTCCCTTGAACCGGTTTTTTCCCAAATGGGTTTTCTGCCAAGGTTTTTAACGAGGCAACATTGGATCGTGCTAACATAGAATGGAAGACCAGGTATAAACCAGAATCGATGGTCACACCAACAATATCTGAGCCCTCTCGACGATCGACTTCAAATATTGGGGTCCATCACCCTCGGGTAATGATTTTAGCAAGGAAGAAAACTCTATGCTTGAACAGTCGGGGCTCGGTGGATAGGATTATTGTAAGGCCCAAAAGGTCAAATGAACCGTGCCCGCATAGAACACCTAAGCTATAACACGAAGCTTGTACACACTTACAATCTTGTATATTGCGCACATGAATGAAAGGTAGTTTCTGTCATGCCCCAACCTCGGGAGGCGCGACCGGCGCTCAATCGGGTGAACCCAACTGAGCAAGCCTTATTAACACTTTCTACCCAACTCAATACGATTAAGGAAACCATGCTTTCGTTTATTTAGACAATAGCAAACTCGAACATTCAACATTGATAGTTTATTTTTATATCACAAACCTTAAATCATGGCTAAGTTTCCAAGATTTCATACAGTTATAGTTTAGACGAACTAGAGTATAGAGTTACAACACAGTTCATTAACCCATCCAACACCCATACATAACCCACACAAACGTCTACGGAGCCTTTATGGATACAAAAGACGAATTATGACAACGCCGACAACAAGGCCCCGGCTATACTTCAAAAGTGGAAGTCTACAACAAAAGATGTACAACGTAACCCCTTGAAGGAAAAAGGGGCTCACCAAGACTTCGAGAGGAGGACACTCCGCTACGCGCGATCGGCACTGCCCGCTATAGAGCCACCTACATTTATTTAAAAAATGTAGTGCCCCCGGCAAAAGGGACGTTAGTACCATGGAATAGTACTAGTATGTATAACTAAACACCATCTAGTTAGAAAGAACTTTCATACAAGAATAAGGAAATCACAAGTATAATTCGAAAGCTTAGCGATCACCACATCATCAAATAAAAGAATCATACAACTTTCACATAATTTTTCCATTACTTTTAGTTTGGGGCATTTCATACTGTTCATCATTGTTCACAATACCACCGCTATCTTGAGCTGAGTCTGATCTCGACCCGATCAGCTAGGTTGCCTCAATTGAGACATATACCTCAATCACAATCTTATTTTCCCTTTCCGGAATTCAATATCAGCACAATACCACTATGTGTGCGGCATGGCGTCCGATCTCGGCCCGTTCGGCTAGGCCGCCTTACCAAGGCGTTGTTCCCTTCTCATTAATCATCTCGTGTCACATATATCATTTCATAGGCACTTGGGGCCACAATTATCACATCATTTTTGGCACTAGGCCACATTTACATCATTCCCAATTTCAATGTTAGCTTTGCAATTTAGGATAATAGGTGCACACAAGAGTAACTTAAATTGTAAGCATAGATAAAACTCCACATAGATGGCACAACAAACGCAGCTTCAAGAATAGCATTTCAATGCAAGACTCATATTCTTCGCACCTTTTCAAGCTATCAAGAATAGAACATTGATCATATTGAGACACACCTTTCACGTATACAAAGTTGCAACACCAATTCATGTGAAATAACAATCAATACAACAATCCAACTTTAATCTTACCGCATTTGCACAGACACCAACGGAGCTCAATTTCTAAAAAGACGGGGTTTTAGCCATACATACCTCAATTGAGCTTTCCTTAATCCTATAATGTTCCAGAATGTTCGCAACTCCAATCTATTTAAGCAATGTAGCACAATAGAATCCATAATCAGGTAAAGATCATAATCTTAGCTCACTTGAGCATTTTATCAAGCATTGAGTGTTTATTAAGGGCTTATGGTCCTTTTATGCAAGATTACACCAACCCATTCCCCATTCCTCTCTATTTATAATTTCCCCATATCTTCTAAGAACACATGCATGCCATGTAATCACCCTTACCCCCATGAATTACCCCATTAATGATCCCTTATAGCTATGTTTAAAATTAAGAGTTGAGGTGATGAAGTCTTACCTCCTGGAATAAAGATTTAGGTGCCTCACTTGAGTATCTTCAATGTTTTAACAAGAATTGCTGGAGCAATGTTTTTTGATGAAAGGCACTTCCTCTCTCCTAGACCCTCTTTCTCACTCTAAAAGCACCAGGAAATAGGCTCAAAATGAGCCATTGCATAAGATATAACGACAGGGGGTCGGGTTTAAAACTTAAAAATCTGGAGCCCCGACTCAGATCTACGGTCGCATTTGCGATCGCATAATTGACATGCAGCCCGCGAAATGGACCGCAAAAATAGCTCCAAAAACCCGAGCAAACTGCTCGAGTATGCGACAAAAATGCGGTCCACATACCTGTTCTGCGGTCGCATAGTGCACCGCAGAACTGCCCCTCGCAAAATTCCAAGGGGATTATGCGATGACTATGCAGCTCGCATATTGATTATGTGATCGCATAGTTGGCCGCATAGTTGACCTCAAAAACCATCAAACTGTCTGACTCTGCGGCGACTATGCGGTCCGCATAGCTATTATGCGACCGCATAATGGACCGCATAAATGCACTTTTCTGGAAAACATTTTTCTTTAACTTTTAATGCATAGATCAGTCCAACGGGTCCAAACCACATATTCCTAACTTGGCACTAAGAGCTCTCGGGTTTTGAGTAGAGATTTTCACGGGGCCTTACAGTTTCTACCTTGCAGATACATATTTTGCCCCTTAAGACTATTTCGTTTTGTTCCTTAGAATATCGAGCCCAAGGGCTGCCTCTATCCGGATCCAAGAGATCACCCCCACTCGGGGAGTGTCGTCCAATTCAAACTCGGACAGCTCGAGCTATCGAAGTCCGAAGGCACAAAAGCCTATCAATCAGTGCCCATTTAAAAGGCTATGGACACCCCGACTCGGGGACTGTCGTCCAAGGCAAGTTCGGTGGCTCGGGTATCGAAGCCCGGAGCTACAAAGCCTATTAGGCAATGCCTGAACTTAATAGGCTACAGCCACCCTAGAAACGGCTTGGAGACGTCCGAAGCCCGTAATCAAAACATAAGGCCTTCAAAATTCCAAACCGGTTCAAAGGCTACCCTCGGCAAAATTATAATCTAAAAACATCTAAACAAGAACTTCCGGGAAAGCATCCGGTCATACCGAGCCCCCCACAAGTTTCAAACAAAATTTACATCAAGAACGAGTCTTGTTTGAACTTGCGAACATGACCTTATTACTATGTTTTATTCCGTGCTAAGGCATTTGAAATCTTTGCAATCATAAAGAGGAATCCAAAAGAAACGAACTCAAAAATTGCAAAAGGGAAAAAAAACTTATATGCATTCCAATAAAAGTCTTTACAAAGGCCAATGATAACGACCTCAACAAAATGAACAAAATGCAAAAACAAAGAAAAATCCTTAAGGCACCTAAGCCTGATCTTCACCAGAACCCGCCTCGTCGCCCGAGTCATCGAGGTCTTCTCTATCCTCGGGTTCGCCGGAGCCCTTAGAGCCTTCCTCACCCTCGGGGTCAGCCAGCTTCTTGGACCTCGGCCTTGATCCTTCTTGCATCTTCGATCTCGGCCGATAGGTCGAAACCCCGAGAATGGACCTCCTCGAGAGCCTCCCTATAGGACTGCCAATTCACGTACTCAATAGTAACTTTCAGGCGGTCCTGGGCTACCTCGGCATCAGCCCTGTACCGGGCCACCATCTCTTCAGCATCAGCCCTGGTTATTTCCGACACGAACCTTGCTGTTTCGAGCTCCTTGCCAAGAGCGCAATGGACAAGCCTGTGAGCACGTGATTTTTGCCCTATATGAATTATTCCCATAAACTCAAAACAAAATTATTTCTTTCATTGTTTGCAATTTTGTGGATTTTTGTGGCATTTTTGTCAATTGTTTGCATTTGTTTGTGCACGTTTATTCTACTTAATTCATGAAAAGACAAAAAATATATTGCATTTGCATTTAGGATTTAATTTTTATTTTTAGATTAATTGGTAAATAGTTTGTTTCATAAAAAATGGAAAAATCACGGGAAAAAAAACAACTCATTTTTGCATGTTTTTTTAGTTTTTGAGTTTCGAATTTCGTAGTTTTTCTTTTAATTTGGTTTTTAATTAATTGTGGTAATTCTTACTTAGAGTAATTAACTTAATTTAGTATAATTTGGGGGTTAGGATTTAGTTTAGATTTTATTTTAAGTTTAAGAAGAAAAAAGGATTTTGAAATAATTAGAAAAGCAAAGAAAAGGGAAAATTTGGACTTAGAGCTGATTTGGGCCTCAGATTTGCTGAGCCCAAACCTTTCTTCTTCCTTAATAACCCCAAGCCCAACCCCCCTTCTTCTCACTAAACCCGCCCAGGTCCAGCCCTAAACCCGACCTGTTCTGAAATATACCCACAACACACAAAAGCCCTAATTGATAGCCCCAAATTCATCCGAGCACACCTCAAGCAACAGGCACCGAAGCATAACTCAGATGTCAAGCTTATTTTCAAGGCTCACAAGCTTTTCTCCCTCGACTTCAGTTCAATCTCTAGTAGCCAACTAGAAGAACTTGACCATCCACTGAAGCAGCTCTATGGCCCAACTCAGGTACTCGGCTCTTGCCATGGTTTGATTTTAATAGCCAACAACTTGAGTGACAATGGTGTGTGGAATCCATCTACTAAAATATTCCGGAAACTGCCGGTTTGTCACGTTAACCCTCCATAGAATCATGGATCGAGACAGGTTGCAGGGTTGAGCCAAATTTGTGGTGGTTTTAGGTATGATACTTCTGCTAAAGATTATAAGGTCCTTAAAATAGCCCAATTTTATCACTTCTCTGGTAGTTCCTTAGTTACTGTTACAATGGTTTTTAGTTTGAAGTTGGGTTTGTGGAAGAAGAAGGTTCAGGATTGTCCATACTGGTTGGTTAAGGAAGATAACGGTACGTTTGCTGCAGGTGCTTTGAACTGACTTGCATCTACGGAACCATCATCAGAGTGGAGCCCTTGGGTTCTTATAGGTCTCAATCTTGGAAGTGAGAGATTTGAGTTGGTGCCATATCCTGAGAATTTGGGAAAGCCATTGCATTTAAATTTGGCAGTCTTGGGAGAATGCCTTTGTTTGATTTCAGGTCACGTCGTTGTTCGTACTAATGCAAAGAATCATGTGTTAAATCATGTTGACATATGGGTGATGAAGGATTACGGAGTGAAGGAGTCTTGGAAAAAGTTGTTTTCAGTTGAGCAGTTAGATGGTCGTCAACATTTCAGTTTCTTGAGGCTAATAGCATATTCAGTGACTGGTAAGGAAGTTCTTCTGGAAATGGATAATAGGAAGTTCCTATGGTATAGTCTAGAAAAGAAGTACCTCAAACATGCTAAGATTAATGGTGGATTGGACTTTTTTGAATCATTTGTCAATTTGGGAACCCTTGTCCCTTTATATGGGGGTGAAAATGAGAAGGATGAAAAGGAAAAGATAGAACCAGAGAAAAAAGATGGAGCCGGAAACATTGAGGAAGAAGATGTCTTGGTGATAGAGGAATTCAAGTTGGAACTTTAGAAAAAAAAGTTTAAATTAGACTAAAGAGGGAGTTGGAGGAAGAGTAGAGAAGCCCCTTCTGTTTATCTATGGCTCTCCTCTATACATACATACATACATATATACATACACACACACACACACACACACACACACACACACATATATATATATATATATATACACATACATACATACATATATACATACACACACACACACACACACACACACACACACACATATATATATATATATATATATATATATATATATATATATATAGTTAGTGCAGTATCTGATATTTTTCTTTTGTTAGCAAAATAATTGTGATTGTGTATACGTCCGCGTAACATAATTACGATTCTAAAAACCAATTCGGAGTATACGTTCGCGCAACTTTGATCAAACTATCTTAATAATAATAAAGCGTTACTAATTGTGGACACGTTCGCGTGACATGATTTTTGACGCGCCAAACAAACGGGTACACGTACGCGTGACCCGTTTCAATAAAATTTTTCTTAATTGAAAGCAGTAAGAGGTAAATGCACATAGGTTCTAAAATCAGTAATTAAACAATTTAATAAGCCAAGTATGATCAAAGCGACCGTGCTAGAACCACGGAACTCGGGAGTGCCTAACACCTTCTCCCGGGTTAATAGAATTCCTTACCCGGATTTCTGTGTTCGAAGACCATAATAAGAGTCAATCTTCCTTGATTCGGGATTTTAAACCGGTGACTTGGGACACCATAAATTATCCCAAGTGGTGACTCTGATATTAAATAAATAATCCCGTTTCGATTGTCACTTTAAATTGGAAAAAAACTCCCTTATACCCTTTCGGGGATAGTAAAAAAGGAGGTGTGACAAAGCCCAGTTGAGACTGAAGGTCTTCGATTTATCGGGCCTGTGCTTCAGCTTTCTCTTTCACCACTTAGAGTTGGACCACTGCTGATGCCAGCTGCTCTTGTGCGGTCTCTTTCTCCGAAGCCAGTCGGTCCAATTTTCCTTTCCACTCTTCGGTCATGGCCTTGACCTCCTTCATCTCGGCTCGGAGTTGGTCGATCCTGTCAACATTTTGCTGGACCTGCGAGGTTTGGCCGTTAGTCACCATGGCTAACTCGTCATCGCTAACTTCAAAAATCTTTACATGTTCTACCAGTTCGACATGCACTTTCTGAGCCGCATCCAACTCGGCCTGAAGGCTCTTGACAGCTTCTTCGTGTTGCTTGCTGAGAAGCTTATACGAGTCCCTCTTCTCGCTGAGCTCCCTGACCTCAGCCTCGAGCTGGTTAACCTCAGCCCGGTACCTGAGAAACCTTTCATGGTGAAGAATCGAGACCTGCAAAAATATAAAAGAGAGAAGACATAAGGGACATTAAAAACTTAGTCAGAACATGGAAAAGCATAATGACACCTTACCTGGTTTTGCGCCTGCTGCGCTTCGTTGAACAGACACGGCACGCACACCTCGTTCATCTTCGCCTGGGCTTCTTCGGTTACTAGGAACCAGAGATAGCTTGCTACTCTAACGGGGATGGAAAGAACCCGGGCATCCTCCGGGATGGTGATGATTATTAACCGCCTATGGTCGGGATCCATACTTGGGGCGAAAAACAGGTTGATCAACTTTGGCCTCGAATTTAGCCCGTCGATTTTTGAAGACGGTTGCTTCCTCGGTACCTCTAAATAACCCAACCCGGAGAAGTCTTCTAGAGCGGTAGAGTCCACGCCTTCAAAAAAAGAACGGAGGGGATCTTCCGCACCTTGGGTCCCTTCGTTGGATCGCTCCTCCATCGCTCGGGCTTCGTCGAACATAGACTTGGTGAACGAAGGCGACCCTAAAATTTCTATGACACCGGGCGGAGCGGAGCCGGTGTCTCGAGAGGTCTCGACCCTCACATCTACGTCGGCCTCCTGAACCTGAGGGGTATCAGCCTCCTGAACCTGAGGGGGATCAACCAATGTTATTTCCCCCTCGGCTGCCTGATAACTATGGATTTTAGCCTATCTTATGCTTTCTTTCACTTACGTTTTGGATAAAAAAATGTGTAAAAGTATTCCCAAAAACTGACTTAATGTGCTTGTCTGTAGGGTTTGGTCAAAATGAGGCAAGAAAATCAAAATCAACTCATGAAGGAGTTAAAATTGCACAATTTCAAAGCTGAGATAAAAGCGCTGACCACGAAGGAAAAGAGCGACCGCGAAAGATCCACCGCTGAAGCGGTTACAATTACGCAGTCCGCGGAATTGAGGTTCAGAGAAGGTGTTTTGGGTGCAACAGAGACCGCTGGACGCGATAAAAAAGTGCGGCCTCGGAATACCTGACACGGCCACGGTGGTAATTCCGCTGAGAGCGGCGATCAAGGTTCAGAGACCCTGAAAAGTGGGCCTAACTGAGGAGCACGGTCGGCGTCTAAATTGCACGGCCGCGGTTGAGGCTAACGCTGAGGCGGTATCTTTTACGATGTCCGCGAAATCTAGTCCAAACCAAGCACAAAAGTGAAGAAACGCGGTCCGCGCTTGTTTTGCGCGGCCGCGGAAGTCCTTACACTGAGGCGCTCATTATTTCGCCGACAGCAGAACCTCCGTAGGGGTATTTTTGTCCAGTAATTTTAGCTATGTATTAATAGTTCTTTTTCACATTTTTAGGTCATCTTTAGTTTCTGGGGAGCTCGTGAAACAGTCGTATTTTACTACTTAGAGTAATTTTAGAGCAGCTTTACCTATTAATCTTAGATTTTATTCTTGTAATTAATTTTTATGGCTTATATTTCATCTCCATATTTGATTTCTACCTTGATTATGAGTAGCTAAACCCATTATCTAGGGTTGTGATCCAACCCTAGTGTGGGTATTTAATGGTTCTTCAATTTTCGGGCTTAATTGTTTATGGGTTAATGATATTTAGCTTGATTCATGCTTTAATTGTTGAATTGGTGGTTGCAAACGCTGATTCGTGCCTTTATGACTTAGACTCTTCTTGAGAAAGAGAGACTAAGTCTAGAAAATTCAGGCTAACAAGGAATTGGGGTGCATTCAAGAGATTGATAGCCCCAATTAAAGGGTTAAACCTAGAGATAGTAATACCCGACTTGAGCTAATTTTTCGCGCATTGTTTGAACACCCAATTGGGCTTGAGAAAGCCAATTAGGGCAAATTCACTCAAACTACCGAGATGTATAGAGTGAGTAATTATGTGCAAATGTTATATTATGATCCCAAAAAATAACAAGTCTGTCCTAAACTCTAGACCCCATTAGATACTCGCCTAGGTGTAAGTCACTTCCCTAGTGCTTTTTATTAATTGATAAAAACCCTACAAAAACATTGTACTTTGATTACTTTCAGCAATCAGTAGCATTAAAAGTAGGACAGAAACAAAACCAAGCATGGTTAGAAGAGCAATTAAGAACAACACGCATAGCTAGATTGGATAGAAACCCAACTCCCAACAAATATTAGCTCCTTGTGGATATCGATCCCGACCTTTCGGGTAAAAGCTGCCTCGACCACTCTTTGCCATTTTATAGTGGTATAGGGTTGGAGCCGATCACTTTTTGGCACCGTTGTCAGGGAACTAAACGATTTTGTCTATCTATCTGACTAGTTTTGTGTCTTGTTTTTCTTTCCTTCTTTTATTACTAACTTGTCTGAGTTAATCGATTCATTTAGGTACAAAATGGCAAATAATGATCCTCTCGGAAATGTTCTCCCGGGGGAGGAGGTAGATGATAATGTTGAAGATGAGGTGCCTCTAATACCTCAAGCTCAAAGAAGAGGCCGCCAGGCCAATGACAACATTCCATACCCTCCCCCAGCTCCTCCGTGAGTAGCTCCTCGGGTGCTTCCAAATGAAGGTTACGCAAGTGCAATTGTCCCACCCCGGATCCAGGTGGGCAATTTCCAGATTACAAATGTTATGTTGACTTTATTGGAGCAAAGAGGGTAGTTAACAGGCGCTCCCCATCAGAATGCATATAAACATCTAAATAGTTTTGTGGATACCTGCTAGGGGAGCAAACAGACAAATGTGTAGGAGGATGCATTGAGATTGAGATTGTTCCCTTTTTCACTTATAGGGAAAGCTTTGGACTGGCTCGAAAGTCTTCCCAACCATTCCATCACTACTTGGGATGAGTTGACCGACAAGTTTATAGCAAGGTTTTTCTCACCATGGCATATGGCGACATTGAGATATGAGATCCTGGCCTTCAAACAGGAACCTAATGAACAACTTCATGAGATCTGGGAAAGGTATCGGACGATGGTGAAAGAATGTCCGAACAATGACATGACCGAAGCAATGATCCATCAAACATTTTTCCATGGTATCAACACCACCAATCAGTGTGTAGTGAACTAGCTAGTAGGGGAAAACTTTATGACAACACCCTATGCTAAGGCGTATGAGATATTGGATGAGATGGCAGATACTTCCTCGGCGTAGCAGAGTCGAGCTAATGTGCCACAAGGTGAATCCCACTGTCATTCACCTGCATAAAGAGCTCCACGACCATGGCCAAGCAATAGCAGAGTTGACTACAACAATGAACCAGTTGGTAAAAGCTCATTTGCAGCAAGTTCAAGCGCCAAGTCAAGTGAATGCCATAGAAGGGGTAAATATGTTGTTCAACAAGAGGCGACAAAGAGGTCAACTAAGTCATGGAAATCCGGATCAATATGAGCAAGGTAGTAGTGGTTTCAACCAAAATAATGGGTATGATGATCAAAGTGAAGAAGTTCGGTATGTGAACAACTACCAAGGACAACGGTAAATGCTCCGAATCAACAACAACAGTGGAGATCCCAAGGAAATTGGGGGAATCAAAACCAACAAGGAAATTGGAACAGTGGTAACAACAATAACCACAACAACTGGGGAAACAACAATCAGAATTGGGGTAACCAGGGCAACTGGGGAGGAAATAACAACCAAGGTGGTTGGAATAACGGTAATCAAGGGAATCTGGGTCCGAGCTTTCAAAGGCATCCGATGTATTAACAACCAAACAA